AGAGAGAGAGAGAGAGAGAGAGAGAGAGAGAGAGAATACAAGTTAAATGAAATAATTTACCGGTAGTGTAAGCGAAAGCCAATACAATGCCAACAAATAATAATTGCATTTTTATGGCAAACATTACAGTATTTTATAACGTCTTCGTCTTATTTAATAACTCAAAGTTATGATTACAATATTATATTATTGTTAACTGATTTTGTTGTTTCAAACGCACTGATATTTATACCATAATCATTTATTTTATTAACCACAACTTTTTAAATATCAGCGTAAATTAATTAATTATTTTAAGTACTTGAAATGAAATATTGTACATAGTGCAAAATATTTGATTGAACAGATATGAACAAATGTAATTAATCAATTTAAAAATTGTGTTGGTAATATTATTGTGTATGGTGCAAAAAGTAGTGTTGCCATTTAAGCTTGGTTATAAACTTTTAATTAAATAAAGGAATAGAATAGTTTTACCTTATTATTATAGAATTAATTCAATAGACCAATTATTTTTTCATCATAAGTATGTATAGTTTTTAGTTTGTATGTATGAAATGTCAAATCTCAGTTAAATTTAAACATTAGTACAGTTTGCAATACTAGTATCCGATATTTAATAAAAACAATTCAATTTGAAAACAGATGTTATGTTCAATTTCCAAATGTTTGCGTAAATTAATTAATTATTGTGGGCAAAATTTTACCCCTCGTGGTTTGTGTAATTAATAATAAACATAAAAAAATTATATTTTATAATTAAATAAATGTTTGAAATCAAAGTATATAAGCTGGGTAATTCATAAGGGATTCATTCACAATTAACCATAACTAGTTTGGATATATTCAAGTAATTTAATTAATTTAGAAAAAATGAATTCACCACTAACTATTGCGTTTGGAATTTGTTTTATCATTGTACAAGGTAAAATACTTTAATAAATAAATTAAATTAAATTGGATAATTAACAATTCTATTTTAATAGTAATTTGTGATGAAAACCCTATTGACTACGGAGAACAGGCAAACACCGATGCCATCAAACTTAGAGTGTATACATTGGTTGAGCCAATCGGACAGATATTGGAAGCGGCAGAGAAACGGTACAAAACGCAGGGCTTGACTGTACCCATACAGTTGTATCACGAGCTGAAGGACTTTGTGCTGCGAACCATTCCCTGGCTGTTCGACACGTTTAAAGCCGTGGCCAACGAGACTGATAGAGAGCGAGTGACCGCACAATTCTTGGGCGAAGTCCACGGCTTTAATTATATGAGCAAACGGTTGGATAAAATCCGTTTGGCTAATCATGATACTGTCAATATTACGGGCACGTCCGAGAATCTGCTTGGTAGAATTAAAGCGTTGATGGGTTTTGCGATGGGCACTTTGGATGATGAAATTGCTAATGCTAGCCATCCAGTCTGGTCACAGTTTCACCAAAAGGTAAATTATACTTATATT